CTTTTGAGCCACAGGTGCCACCCTAATCTGTAGATTTTCTTTCCTTTTTTTATGCACAGAAAAAAAATACTGAATTTTAATGAAGTGACATGCAGTTCTTTATGTCCTCTCCCAAATTTGTCATTTATTATTTGAGGCCATTTAAAAGAAGGAGGATAACTTGTTCTGCTTTGAACTGAATTACACAAAACAAGTCCTTTTCTAGGTGGGAACTAGTTCTGATACCATCTAATGCCCATATATCTCTTTTCCTGTCTTTTTTTTTTTTTTTTTTTTTAAATAGAGTCTCACTCAGTCACCCTGGGGTTGACTGTCATGGCATCCTAGCTCACAGCAATCTCAAACTATTGTGCTCAAGTGATCCTCTTGCCTCAGCTTCCCAAGTAGCTGGGACAATAGGCACCTGCCACAACCCCCAGCTATTTTTCTATTTTTAGTAGAGACAGGGTCTCACTCTTGAAAAGACTGCTCTCGGCCGGGCGTGGTGGCGCACGCCTGTAGTCCCAGCGCTATGGGAGGCCGAGGCGGGTGGATCACCTGTGCTCAGAGGTTCGAGACCAGCCAAGACCCCCCTGAGCCAAACGAGCCAGAGTGAGACCCCGTCTCTACAACAACAACAGGACAACGAGACAGCCGGACCTTGTGATTCCAGCCCATGGGGGGCACAAAAACACTACAGGAGGAAGAAGTAATAAAAAAAAAATAAATAAATAAAACGTTCAAAGTAAAAAAAAAAAAAGAAAAGAAAAGAAAAGAAAAGACTGCTCTCGAACTCCTGAGCTCGAGCAGTCTACCCACTTTGGCCTCCCAGAGTGCTAGGATTACAGGCATGAGCCACTGTGCCTGGCCTCTTTTTTCTGTCTTCACAGTAGATTCCTTGAAGGTAGGTACCTTCTAGCTATCTTCATTTCCTTTAGGATCATCTGATGCTCATGTACAAAGCCTTTTATTGTTGTTGTTAAGGGAATGTAGACATTTCATTTACTTTAGGATTAAGATCACTCCAAACTAAGATATAGACTCCTTTGTCTCATTAAAGCTAGCCGTTCCTAGGCTGGTGCAGTGGCTCACACCAGTAATCCTAGCTCTCTGAGAGGCTAAGGCAGGAGATCACTTGCGCTCAGAAGCTCAAGACCAGCCAAAGCAAGAGTGAGATCAGTCTCTAATAAAAATAGAATAATTTCACCAGATATCATGGCAGGTGCCTGTATTCCCAACTACTTGGGAGGCTGAGGCAGGAGGATCTCTTAAACCCAGGAGCTTGAAGTTGCTGTGATCTAATAGATGCCCCATCACTGTAGCCTGGAGCAACAGAATGAAACTCAAAAAGCAGAAAAGTTAGTTATTCCTGCTTCACGTTGGCAGTTTCCAGATATAGGCCCTAATTAATGATAAGTCAGAAAATAGACTTAATATGAAAACAGATTTAATCTCATGGGGAATCTTGCCACTATAATTATGAAAAGGAATTGATTTTTAGCCTGTTTTTAAAATTTAAATAGCGCTCATGAGGGCATGGTCCTGTCCATGTGGTCTGGACCTACCCTCCACGAGCAAGAAAAACAGAACTGGTTTGGGGGTGTCCCATCTGTGTGGACATGGGACACCATGGTTTTCAGTACAACAGAAAAAAAATAAAATTTAAATAGAAGAATGAAAAGGCTGGATTGGTAAACTCTATACTTGGAATTTTTGCTTCCTGTGGCAGTAGTAAGCCATTCTATGAAGGTTATGTTAACCAGTTTGATGAGAGTATTTCAAAATGTATATGAAAACAACACACTACCCCATGATTGCATTAATGTACACAGTTATGCTATAAGAAATAAAAAAACAATAGTAAGCCATTCTGCTGAGCAGTTTGCAGTGAAGGGAAAATTACAAAAGGAAAAACTAACACAATAAAATCCAGATAGTCAGTATATCCCTTTGTTCCAAAAGTGTTAATAACATGGTAATTTATTCACTAAAGACAAGTATATTTATTCTGTTACTTTCTAATCACCAAATCCTACTCATTCATTTTCTTTTTACATTTTTAGGAAACATACTCCCAAACTAAGCCCAAGATGCAAAGTTTGGTTCAATTGGGGTTAGGTAAGTTGATTTTTAATTAGCCATAATCAGTTACTTCATTAACATTGGACTCTTTATTTGGGGTTCCATGGACGGGCTCTAGGAGATCTGTAGATTTCTTTAAAATTGTATGCAGAATTTTAGAGCTATGTGGATTTTTCTAGAAAGAGGATCTATTGTTTTCATCAAATTTCAGAGGAAGAGTGTCCTCAAACAATCAGGTAAGTCTCTTCAAAATCAATAGGATTGCCAAGTGTAGATACACTACCTTAAAAACAAACAACCACAACAAAAACCCTATTTCCAGGTGTGCCACACTAACTCCTCTATAGATTTTCAGAATCAGAGTAGCTTATTTGGGCTGTCATTAATGCATATTATTTATAGAAGTATCGAGGCAGGAAGAAACTGAGCTGGTATGCCTGGGAAAGGTTTTACTGCATAATTAATAGTGTTCTTAGATTTTTATTTGATTTTTATTGTCCTTGATTGTTTTTCACATGTGGGCCACTTAATATATACACACACTAATAACCTGGGTTCACAGTCTACGTTCTGACTATTCTTAGTCAGGAACTGCTAAATTAATAGAGACAATGATAGAATTTCATTCCCCTTATTAGGCATCTTAGCAAATCAAAATCTTATTTTTACAAGGGTTTGTTTCCATGATGGAACAAGATAAACATGAGTACGTGATAAACATTCATTTCTTTGCTGAAATCGTCATATTATGTTGACGTGCTGATGCCCCTGAGACTATCAGAGAAATAAATTTTTCATTTGAAGGTAGATATATTAATAACTGCCTGATGGCTCTTTAATTATTGACATGCTAATAAGTGACATCTAAATTTTATTAATTTCATACTTATTTAGTGCTTACTATGTGTCAGGCACTATTCTAAGTGCTTTAAAAATATTAAATTACTTAATCCTCATAACAACCATGAGAGATACTCTACTATCTTCATTTTTATCAGAGAAAATGGAAGAACTCCTGAGGTAGTCTTTTATCTGTACGTGTGTGACTGAAGAGGTCTCTTCATCGTCACCTTTCATTTCGCATTAATTCATAGCTATAGGCGTCATTTGCAGCATTGGTCTTTTTTTCTCCTGGTCTCATAGTACTGCAAAGGCTGTTAAGGAGAAGCATTCCACTATGAATTGTGGTACTGTCTGCCAAGCTGATCGGTCCGTTTTCCACTACTCACAGCTAAGGCATGTTACCAGAGTCTGGGCTTTTGCTTCAGTGCAGTCTTAAAACATATCTTCTCTTCCATTTCTTTGGAAATGAAGCCCCATTTACCCACTTGGGCTCGGCTCACCAAAGCCATCTGGGTGTCCTTCTGTTAACTGCTCTGTGCACACATCTAGAATTGAGCAACACTGTGCTGGTAGTCAAAAATAAGGGGAAGTAGAAAATTGCCTCAAATGACCCATACTAGAGAATGGAAAATAAAAACCAGATTAAAGGGCAGATAGTAGTAATTAATGCAAAATAACATAAGCCCTATAGTAGTATTTAAGATGATCACCATATTTTCCAAAGGACCTAGGAAAAGGAAAACTGGCATGCATCTTGTATTACCTAGGGGAGAGAATTACTGAGTTTTCCAGTTTATTCAGTTCAGTGTCCATTTATTTGCTGAGTTACTGCTGTGGCAGGCATTGAAGATTGAAGTTAAGACAATAGTCACAACTACTGAGATGTATGTAAGAAAATACTCAATACTAGTGCAAATACAGAGACAATCCCAGACCACTGTTAAAGGTACACAGGAAGGAGACTAGCCGGATAGAGATTGGGGAGATGGGAGCAGTCAGGGAAGGATTTCTGATATAAATCTTGAAGGAGCAGTGTTAACCACACCAAGACATATAAGTGGAACTTTGGGTAGCAGACCTTCCACCTAGTGAATGCAGTGTGATCAAGGCTTAAAGGTGTGACTTGATATTGGCTATTTGGGGAACCATAAGCAGATAGGAAGTGCTGAGGATGAGATTGAGAAAGAGACATGAAGGCTTTGTAAATCATGACCTCACTGAAATTCATTTGTTGATTGATCCAGTATTCTTCTACTCCTGTCAATGTTTTTAATAAAATATGTTGAAAGGGCTCGGCGCCTGTGGCTCAAGTGGCTAAGGCGCCAGCCACATACACCTAAGGTGGTGAGTTCAAATACAGCCCGGGCCCGCCAGAACAACAATGACGGCTGCAACCAAAAAAAAATAGCCGGGCGTTGTGGCGGGTGCCTGTGGTCCCAGCTACTTGGGAGGCTGAGGCAGGATACTCGCTTGAGCCCAGGAGTTGGAGGTTGCTGTGAGCTGTGATGCCACAGCACTCTACCCAGGGGGAAAGCTTGAGGCTCTGTCTCAAAAAAATAAATAAATAAAATATGTTGAATGAACATCCACTATCACCACTAAGGGAAGATGACATAGAGATCTAAGCAGTTCAACATTAAGGAGCTTACATTGTCCTTAGGGCAACATCGTATACACACCTGAATAATTAAACACAAGGTACTATCGGTTACATGTATAGGTACTAAGTGATGGTACAGAGAATAAATAGGATGGGACTTTTTTATTTTTGCAGTTTTTGGCCGGGGCCAGGTTTGAACCCATCACCTCTTGTATATTGGGCCGGCGCCCTACTCCTTTGAGCCACAGGTGCCGCCCCAAGATGGGACTTTAGAGGAATAAGAGAGGTCTGGGCTGATAAGCTTAGGAAAGGCTTTCCTGAGGAGGTAGGACTCAAGCTGGCTCTTATTTGGTGGGACTGGTTCAGTGGAAAGGAGAGGAGAGGAAGCATCATATGAATGGGGTCATAAGGTATGTTCAGTCATGGTGGATAGGTTCACATGTTAGATTTATTCTTATTTATTCTGTCAATCAACAGTGACTATTTCACGTATGAACTTATACTACAGGTTTCTTTTGTTATCCAAATTTATTCTATTCTTGAGTTTAAATAATGAGTTAAGATGGCAAAGGACACGTATTTTTCTGAGTCTAATGAATTTGGTTCCTGAGTTTCACCAAGAAAGCAGCAAAGCTTCAGACAGCAACAAATCTATCCAAAGTTTTATCCAAATCTATTCTGCTTCTGTGTTTGGATAATAAGAGTTTGGATAGCAAGGGATAGATAATTCAGATGCACCGCCTTCAGGAACGTGAAGGTAATCTAACATTACTTTATTGTCAGTAGGTTGTCAGACCAAAAGTATTTGAAAATTAGAGACTTGCTTTGTGAATAAATTTGATTTGTATACCACATAGAATGTGTTGAAAGAGAAGTATACTAGCAGAAAGCAAAGAATACATGGTTTAAAAAGAATTTGATATTATATATACTAATTATATGCTAAGACTTTTTTTGTGTATTTTTTGATGAGCAATTTATGAGACTGCTTCCTGGGCTGGTTCTTTTGTAGACAGCTATGAATATCTCCAACATGCCCCTCCTGGGTTTTTCCCAAGACTTGGTGTTATTGGTTTCGCTGGCCTTGTTGGACTCCTTTTGGCTAGAGGTACGTGCAATTTTGTGGGGTTTTGGGTTTTTTTGCAGTTTTTGGCTGGGGCAGGGCTTGAACCCACCACCTCCAGTATATGGGGCCGGAGCCCTAGTCCTTTGAGCCACAGGTGCCGCCCGGTAGGTTTTTTTTTAACGGTTCATATGGGAGAGAGAGAATGTATGTTTGGTTCTTAATATACATCAATATGTAATTGATATGGCCTTCTTAATATGTAATTGATATGGTTATTTATTCCATGATATTTGTTTTTAGCACATGTAGAAATTGTATGCTCTTGGTTAAAAAAGAAATTAATGGCTGGGCATACTGGCTTATGCCTATAATCCTAGCACTCTGCGAGGCCAAAGCAAGTGGATTGCCTGAGCTCACAAGTTCAAGACCAACCTGAGCAAGAGTGAGACCCTGTCTCTACTAAAAAAAAATAACAAAAAAAGAAAGCCTAGCTGGGCATTGTGGCAGGTGCTTATAGTTCCAGCTACTCAGGAGGCTGAGGCAAGAGGATCTCTTGAACTCAAAGAGTTTGAGGTTGCAGTGAGCTAAGAAGACACCATGGCCACTTTACCCAGGGTCACAGAGTGAGAATCTTATCTCAAAAAAAAAAAAAAAAGGAAATTATTTATCCTTTATACTTGAGAAATAAACTATTTCTAAGTGTTTCACTACTAAAATTAGGCTATTAATCACAGTAAATAGAACAGTAATTTAATGGAGATTTTATTCTTGAGGTATCATGTCTTCATTCAGTCAGTAATGATGTAAAACTTTAATATCAATTTAAAAATATTGCTACACTGGCTCAGTGCCCATAGCACAGTGGTTATGGTACCAGCCACATACTCTAAGGGTGGTGGGTTTGAACCTGGCCTGGGGCCAGCTAAACAACAGTGACAGCTGCAACAAAAAAATAGCCAGGCATTGAGGCGGGCGTCTATAGTCCCAGCTACTTGGGAGGCTGAGGCAAGAGAATGGCTTAAGCTCAAGAGTTTAAGGTTGCTATGAGCTGAGACTCCATGGCACTCTACCCAGGGCAACAGCTTGAGACTCTGCCTCAAAAAAAAAATATTGCTACACTAAACTGCTAGCTTATGAAACATCTATAAGAAATAAAGGATAATAAAATACTTTACTGTGGTGAAATTAATTTGTTGTGAACTACTGGTAGTTTCACTGATTATAACATAAATGTTTATAGTATAAAATTCAGATGTTACAAAGATTCCTAATGGCAAATGGGTATGAACCCTATAATCAAACCCTCCCCCCCGTAAAAGAGAACCATGGTGACTAGTTTGATACCCATTTCACCAGTTTTTAAAATCTTCCCTCTCGGCTCGGCGCCTATAGCTTGACCGGCTAAGGCGCCAGCCACGTACACCTAAGGTGGCGGGTTCGAATCCCCAGCCCGGACCCGCCAAACAACAATGACGGCTGCAACC